TAAATCTTTCTGTTCTTCTGATAATATCCTTGGGATAAATTTCCAGGCGTGGCCTCTGGGCTCTTGGTGCATGTTGGGGAAGGGTTTGGGGAATAGGGGAGGTTTGCACCTGGCTTTGGGGGGCATCCTTGTTATGGAAGCCGTGTAAGCAGAGGTGGGTACCTCCTGCCTTATAGGGGTGGCAGTGGGGCCGTGATTTGTCTGGTGCTCCGTGGGAACCCAGTTTGTCCATCCAGGATCTCTTGCATGCCTTCTAGCTGCATTAATATCCTGCAGACAAAAGGGGAGGCAGCCAGTCCCTCACCCCACTGCACTGCCCAGTCGGTCATCAGATCTGATGTCACAGAGGTGTCCCAAATCTGCAAAACCACAAGCTCACGATCACTCTTGCTGGCTTCTGTGGCCGCATGTGGACACCCCTTGGCTGCCTCTGCCTCCACGGGGTAGGGGGTTGAGGAAATGTGAGTAGATTACACCGTCGCCCGTGAAGAAGGTGGGGGGTGGGTTTCCAAGAAGGATGGCTGTGCGTGTTTTCGCAGGACCCCGATGGGGGAGGAGATGCTGGAGGACCCTATCCTGCCAGCTTTGTGACAAGCGAGCTCCTAATTTTTCGCAGTTGGGTTCTTGTCGTGTCACGACATCCTCCGTGGGGAGGCAGCTGTGTATGGGGTGTCCCTTGCAAAAAACCTGCCTTAAAAGATGTTCTGGTGTAAATCTAGGGTAGTGTTATTTCCCTGGCGACTTTTCCAGCCATCTGAGGTTTTGTGTGAGTCCAGGAAAGGAAAAAGGAGGCAGCTCTTCCCCCGCTGGGTCCCTGGGCACAGCAGCTCTGGAGTCGCCGGCCATGCCTCTGTTGGTCCCTCCGTTGGCTGTTGGTTGAGTGTGGTTGAGGCTGGATAGGGGCTGGGATGTGGAGCAAGGTGCCCACCAAGGGAAGGGCCCCTGACGGTCTTGTAGCCCAGAGGTCTCGTTCTTCTGACGGTCCCTGTGTTAATTTCCTGGGCCTGCCATAACAGATCACCACAAACTGTGTGGCTGAAACAACAGAAATTGATTCTCTCACTGTCTGGAGACCAAAAGTCCATAATCAAGGTTTCAGCAGGGTCATGCGCTCTCCTAAAGATCAAGGGAAGAATCTTTCCTTGTCCCTTGTAGCTTCTGGCGGCCCCAGGCGTTCTGTGGCTTGGGGTCGCATCACTGCAGCCTCTGCCCCTGGCTTCACATGGCCTCTCTGTGAGTCTGCCTCTCACATCCCCGCCCCCCTCCTCCAATCTCTTATAAGGGCACTTACAGGATTTAGACCCCCATCCTAAATCTGGGATAATCTCATTGCAAATCCTGACCTTAACCACATCTGCATAGATCTTATTTCCAAGTAAGGTCACATGCGCAGGTTCTGGGGGTTAGGATGTGGACATATCTGTTGGGGGGACACTATTCAACCCACTACAGACTTAGAGGAAAATGGAGCTTCTCAGGCTGAAATGGGGGTGAAGACCCGGTGCCTCCCTGCTCTGGAGGTTCCTTCTCTCGGGGTGCCCCAGGGCTCCGTGCCCACAGTTACAAACCAGCCTTTAAGTTCTATAAAGAAGCACATAGAGAGCTGGCTCGTGGTGTAATGCAGGGAGGATGTCGGGCTCTGTCCCCAAACACCCCCCCTGAAGTCCTGAGGGACCTGGATGACATGGGGAGGGAATGGTGTGAACTTCGGGGCCCAGGGCAGGCTTTGGGAGGAGCCCGAGTGAGCCTGGCTTTGAGGGGCCTCAGAGGAGGAGGCGTGCTTATTTGGGTGGATGGCATAGGACCATCAAGAACCACCCGAACCACCCTGACGTTCGCTGAGCGGTCACCATCCTGATGGTGGAGCATAGGACTAAGAGGCTGTGTGATGCTGGGCAGTACCTGCCCAGGTAGATGGACGATACGCACAGGTAACATAGGGCAGGGTGGTGGCGGGTGAGCTGGGAAGCCGTCCAGGGGAAGGAGTGGTGTTCAGGGTGGGGCCATGTCATTCAGCAGGGATCTGTGCGTGTCGGGCTGGCTCCAGCTCTTCGCCACCTCTGGACGGAGATGCTTTGGTGCAGGGTGTTAAATCGTGAGTCGGGGTCTTATCCTCCCGGGTAAACCTGGGAAAGGCTGTCCCCCACTTAGTTCCTGTTCTCCAGCTCAGTCCCTGGAACAGTAAGGACACCTGGAAAGGTCTGCATTGAGGGGGGTGGGGCGTGGACCTCTCCTCTAGGGCGCCCACAGACAGAGAGGAGCCACCATTTGGGGACAGTTTGCATAGTGCTCTCGAGGCAAGGTTAGACCTGGGAACCACGTGGACACCATTCTGGACGTTCCGGCCAGTCTCACAGGCACCGGCCTCTCCTGGGGGCATCTGGGCTTCTTTAGAACCATCGGTTCGCCCTTTGCAATTGTCTTGGTGCACAGCTGCCCGTGGAGAGGCAGACCTGCACCAAGATGGGGTCCTAGCGCTAGCTCAGGACCCGGCCGCCCTTGAGGGCGTAGGTGAGCACCCCAGGCCGAATGCAGCCTATGGATGTGATTTTTGTGTGCCTGCATGGTGTTTTTAAAGGCTTGTTTTGCTTTGTTTGTGCCGGCATCTAAAAACCTGGAGACGACATATAAAACAATCCAGATTTCCAGGCTCTCTTGAAGTCCGAAGCTCTGGCCACCCTGGGCCTACAGGCCTGTGTGGCAACAGAGCTGAGCAGCCGGCATGTCCCTGCGACAGGGTGCGAGACGACATCCCAGCTCCTCAAATCCGTACAGCTCCTACGTCTGAGGACATTTCCAGGCCCTGCTGGGCCTCTGCGATGGCTCTGCTTTGCAACCCGGGATTTTGTGCCCTCTGTCCACCAAGAGGGAGGTGTGCCTAGGGCTTGGAGAGGGTCCCCCAGAAGTGCCACGTCTGGGGCACCGGTAGTTCAGGCAGCAGGTTTCAGGGACAGGGTCCCCCGTGCTTCCTCCCACTCCCAGCCTTAAGGTCACACGCTCCCCTGGCCACCCACCCACTCAGCCCCCACCAGGCCCTGGTCTGCGGAAGGAAGTGCTGTCCACTGGGAAGAGATGGGAGCTGGGCTGGAATTCGGAGGCACGAAGACGGGAGGAGGGGTCCCTAAGATTGACCCCTGTGAGCTGTTGTTGGGGGCTGAGGACCAGCTGTGGGCCAAGGGAGGAAATCGTGGGGTCTCCTGAATCCTGGGCTCTGGAGGCTGGTGAGGCGAGGTGGGGAGTGGGGTGGGGGGTGACACCGGGCTTGCTGTGGGCCCCTCCGGGAAGGAGCTGGTGAATGTTCCTCTCATGTGGGCCCCTTCCTGCTCTGGTCTTTATAACCAGGAGCAGCTGGTTCTCGTTTGGAGCGCGGCTGCAGGGACTGTGGGGACGGTGGCTTTTCAGGCACTGTCTCCACCACCTGGGAGGGAGCAGATCCTGGTGGGGATGGCAGGCAGCCGGGTGGAAACACTGGACTGTGGAGTAGGGAGTCGGATAGCTGCTGTCCCACGGGGCCCAGGTCTGGCTGGGGCAAGTAGTATAGGATGGAGGCCGAGGGAAGCCAAGGGTGAGGTGAGGGGTCAGAAGGTCGGGGGGCGTGGAGCACGTGGGGGTCCACATATTCCAGAAACTGGACAACCATGTGATTAGAACGTTTGGCCCTGGAGTCGGACAGACGTGTCTTCTGGCTCTGCCGCTCACTGTCCCTGCCTTCGGGCACATTAAGCACCCGGCCTCAGTTTCCCCACCTCTCCCAAAGGAGAAGAGCAGTATTGGCACCATCGGTTACTGTGAGGAGTCCATGGGGTTGTGCACGGTGAGCCCGGTGCCGGCTGTTCATGTTATCACCGATTCTGCTTGGCCATGGCCTGGCTGTTAGTACTGCGGACGTGTCCCCACACTGGTGTGTCTGCTGATGGTGTCTGTGTCGGGTGGAGGTGAGGGAGGGGTGAAGGAATGCCACGACGAGACAAAGGCGCCCCTGAGCCTGAACATCCTGACAGAAAATATACTGGGCGGGCCCACGCCGTGGCCATTGGCCATGGCAGGACAGAGAGGCCGGCACCCTCCAGGCTCCAGCCTTCTGTCTTTCTCTCCTAGAACGCGTGATCACTGGTGCCTCTGTGTCCCCCGGGAGAGTGGGGCTGCCCCCTTTTCATGCTTTTTTTTTTTTTTTTTTTAAAGCCAAAAATTTCTTCATATCTGCCTGGAACAAATTAGTTCAATTTTTTTTTTTTAGCTGAGCCATCCTGCTACCTGTTGGCAGCTCAGCGGC